CGAATTCGAATCAAATCAAATATTCGATATTCTAATCGATTTCGAATTCAGTTGTTGGTTTTGAATATCCAACGGATATTTAATTGAATTCGAAACACCTTCTTTATATTTGAATTGAATTCGAATATAAGCTAATTCAATTCGAACTTGCTCCATTTATAGGCCTATTTGGTCTTAACACCATCCCCATAACCTTTACTGTCGTGTATTAGAAATATCTTTGCATGAAGATAAATATACAAGTGTAGAGATGTTCCTAATGTAAGACTACAAGTGTTGTAAAGACAATGTGAACATTAATTTTGTGAGGACAAAATCCAATCTCTAGCACAAAGATCTGGTCTAGTAGGCACAATATGGTAAGCACGTTCAAAGAGCACTTGATAAATATTATGACAACTATTAAAAGTGGCTTTTAGTTGGAGGTATTTTTAAGGGACATGTGTCAAAATAATTTTTAAGTACTCATTGAACGTGTTTACAATGTTGTGCCTACCTGATCAAGACTATAATTAGACATCTCTTTATAGGGTGTAACTTGTCAAGTCACTTGGGTTGATCCAACCCAAATTGCATTCCTAGTTCTTACTACCTTGGATTGGTTTCCACTTTCCACCCATATAAAAAATTCCTAATTATGTGTCAACAAAAGTTATTTGTACATGAGAGTTAAGAGGGAATGTTATAAATGGTATTAAACCATAGGGAAAATTCCTGATTAGTATCTTGTACTTTGGGCGTAGTGCCATTTTGGTCCCCAAACTTTAAAACATGATAATTCAGTACTCAAACTTTCAAAATGTACCAATCCAATATCTATCGTTAACTAGCCCATTAACCAACCGTTAAATAGCATTTAAAAAGACAAATGTCATTTGAGTGTCATCTAATTCTCTTTATCAACCATTCAAATGTTGATAAAAAATTAACAGTCCCAAATCCTTTATATTCAAGAAAATTGGGGTCATTGGAATGTCCACTAAGACGTGACCCAACTTTCTTAAATAAAAGAGGCAAGGATTTGGAACTCTTCATTTTTTTTGTCAATATTTGAATGTTTGATAAAGAGAATCACTCAAAGTACATTTATGTCTTTTCAAATACCACTTAATAGCAGGTAATTAATGAATTAATTAATAACAGATAGAAAGGTACGAGCGTGGATTCAGTGGACCCTTAGGTTAACAGGGCGCGTGAACCCTCCAATAGGAGGCGTGCACGTCGACTCCTTTGAACCGATCTAACATAACAGACGCCATCGGTTATCTTTTATCCATTCGGTTGAACCGGACACTAAAAGACAAAAAAAGTAAAACTCATTCTAAAATTTAGAATTTCATTCGAACTTCCCTCCCATCAGCTCTCGCCTTTTGCCTTTCGCCTTTTGCTGGAAAACCTTCGGTATGGTTTCCAGCGGACTGGTGCACTCCATCGGTAGCCGGAAAATCTCTCATCCAAGGACCGGCGCACTCCATCGGTAGCCGGAAAATCTCTCATCCAAGGACTGGCGCAGTCCATCGGTCTCTGCAGAACCAGGTTAGTCTCCTTCCACCGCAAATTTACCACCTAATGAGGGCAGATTTGGCCCTCCAAGGACATTATGACACCTGGCACCTCATGACAACTAGGTGCAGCCTCCTGACAACCAGGCAACTCGGCACTGCATAGGCAACTCGCCACTAGGCAGCTCGCCACCAGGAAGCTTGCCACAGGCAGCTCACCACTTACGGGCAGCTCGCCTCCTAGTCAGACCGACCACCACATGACAACCCCAAGGAGCTCACTACCGTACCCTGCATTTCATGGGATTGTGAATTGTAATGACTATATTAGCTCACCCACTCCCCGATTTCGGCGGAAATGGGCAACCTTACCAGTTGGTGGCTTTATGCCCACCTAACACGAAAGCGGGTCCTATCACAGCGGGAATCCAGGAACTGCTCCACCAAACCCACGAGGACTCTAGTATACAAAGGCCTCACCCCCCAGGGGCGAGGAGGAGATGGTAACCCCTGCTCTCTAGCTCTCTCATTCTGTAATATCATTCTCAGCTCACGACTAAGTGCTGACTTAGCCATCGGAGTGACCTCGCCTGGTAAACACCCCCGGGTTCTCTGATTCAGTTCTTGCAGGAACCTCAGTTCTCGTCGTTGCTGGCAGCCAGATCGTCTCCAGCAGGGAGCAGTCGGATTACGTTACATCAACCTTGACCCAAGAGGACAAAGCCTTAGAAAGAAGATATTGTCGATACTCTGCTTCGGATGCAAAAGGATAAAACAAGCACAAATGACCTCACTCTAGACACTATCAAGGAAATTCTCATGGATATTTTGATGGCTGGAGCAGACACTACTACAGCAACCTTGGTCTGGGTGATGACACTACTTGCTAAGAATCCTATAGTGATGAAGAAAGCACAGAACGAAGTAAGAAGCCTCATAGGAAAGAAAGGAAAGATAACAGAGGACGATCTTCACCAATTCCATTACCTCAAGTGTGTCATAAAAGAGACGCTAAGATTACAACCTCCAGTTCCATTATTGGTTCCACGAGAAACTATGCAACACTATACAGTTGATGGGTACAACATTTTTTTCAAATACAGTAGTTGATGAGGGCGGATTTGGCCCTCCAATGACATTATGACACCTGGCACCTCATGACAATTAGGTGCAGCCTCTTGACAACCAGGCAGCTCGCCACAGGCAGATCGCCATATGTAGCTCACCACTTACAGGCAGCTCGCCACTTACAAGCAGTTCGTGAGATGAGAATGATATTAGAGAATAAGAGAGCTAGAGAGCAGGGGTTACCATCCCCTCCTCGCCCCTGGGGGGTGAGGCCTTTATATACTAGAGTCCTCGTGGGTTTGGTGGAGCAGTTCCTGGATTCCCGCTGTGATGGGACCTGCTTTCGTGTTAGGTGGGCATAAAGCCACCAACCGGTAAGGTTGCCCATTTCCGCCTAAATTGGGGAGTGGGTGAGCTAATATAGCCGTTACAAGTCACAATCCCATGAAATGCGGGGTACGGTGGTGAGCTCCTTGGGGTTGTCATGCGGTGGTCGGTCTGACTAGGAGGCGAGCTGCCCATAAGTGGCGAGCTTTCTGTGCAGTGCCGAGTTGTCTAAGTTGCCAGGCTACTTGATGGTGAGTTGCCTGTGGCGAGTTGCCCGTGGCGAGCTGCCTATGGCGAGCTGCCTGTAAGTGGCGAGCTGCCTGGTTGTCAAGAGGCTGCACCTATTTGTCATGAGGTGTCAGGTGTCATAATGTCATTGGAGGGCCAAATCCGCCCTCATCATTTGCCCCCTACTCCCGAGCTGAAAGTAACTCGACAACGGGAGTAGATTTCTCCTTTTGGCCCATAATTCGACGAGCTCGTAAGCACTGGTTCAGTTTCTTTGGCTCTAGGAGCTGCTTGGAAGCGAGTTGACCGTAAGGTGTTGAGGTCTCTACTAGTTCGGTATTGTAGCCCTTAGGCTCTGGGGTCAACTTATAGTCCACCTTTGTTGATTTTGTCCATGCCGAAGAGGCGATTGTGTCTCAAGTGCCCATGCCAAGGAAGCGACTAGGACTAGGTCGCCCATGCCGAAGAGGCGACTGGGTCTTAATTGTCCATGCCAAGGAGGCGACTGGGACTTGCTCGCCCATGCCGAAGAGGCGACTAGGTCTTAAGTGTCCATGCCAAGGAGGCGACTGGGACTTGCTTGCCCATGCCGAAGAGGCGACTGGGACTTGCTTGCCCATGCTGAAGAGGCGATTGGATCTTAAGTGCCCATGCCGAGGAGGCGACTGGGACTAGCTCACCCATGCCGAAGAGGCGACTGGATCTTAAGTGCCCATGCCAAGGAGGCGACTGGGACTAGCTCGCCCATGCCGAAGAGGCGACTGGGTCTTACGTGAAGAGGAAGTCTTTTATCAGTTCGTCAGTTCGCGCCTAGGCCAGGCCGCCAGATCAGTGCCCGTGCCAGGTCGCGCTAGGTCGGAAAATGTTCCAGGCTGCTAGGCCACCAGGTCGCGCGTAGGCCGCCGAGTGGGTGCCTTAGAGCAATGATTGCACTGCATTCGCCTCGTAATGCGAGAGCTTCAGTTTCTTTGAGTTCATAAAAAATGGAAACTATAAAGCGAGAGCTTCAGTTTCTAAAAAGTGAGGGATTAGCTTTCTAGGAGAAGAGGACTTAGCTTTTTGTAGGATGAGAACTTTGCTTTTTGTAGCGTATTCCCACAGACGACGCCAATTGATGTAACGTAATCCGGCTGCTCCCTGCTGAAGACGATCTGACTGCCAGCAACGACGAGAACTGAGGTTCCTACAAGAACCGAATCAGAGAACCCGGGGGTGTTTACCCGGCGATGTCACTTCGATGGCTAAGTTAACACTTAGTCGTGAGCTGAGAATGATATTAGAGAATGAGAGAGCTAGAGAGCAGGGGTTACCATCTCCTCCTCGCCCCTAGGGGGTGAGGCCTTTATATACTGGAGTCCTCGTGGGTTTGGTGGAGCAGTTCCTGGATTCCCGCTATGATGGGACCTACTTTCGTGTTAGGTGGGCATAAAGCCACCAACTGGTAAGGTTGCCCATTTCCACCTAAATCGGGGAGTGGGTGAGCTAATATAGTCGTTACAAGTCACAATCCCATGAAATGCAGGGTACGGTGGTGAGCTCCTCCGGGTTGTCATGCGGTGGTCGATCTGACTAGGAGGCGAGCTGCCCGTAAGTGGCGAGCTGCCTGGTGGCGAGCTCCCTAGTGGCGAGCTCCTTGTGCAATGCCGAATTGTCTAAGTTGCCAGGCTACATGATGGTGAGCTGCCTGTGGCAAACTGTCTGTAAGTGGCGAGCTGCCTGGTTATCAGGAGGCTGCACCTATTTGTCATGAGGTGCCAGGTGTCATAATGTCATTGGAGGGCCAAATCCGCCCTCATCACCACCCTTGCCCTTCTTCCTTCCCACCAGCAGGAGTCTAAGCGATGCGTTTCTATGACCAAACATCATAAATCCACCTCAACTGTCGCCACTGCTTCCGTCGCCTTCATCTACGGCGACATGAGCATTGCTTCTTAGCTCCGTGCCGACGGACGTTGATGAAACAGTAGTGAGAAGAGAATTGGAGGTGTTTGGTGAGGTGTCTGGCCATTCCACTGCCCGCTCCTCCAACGCCTTTTCGATCCTTCCCACATCACAATTTGTGGAGACCCAACTGGATCAACACCCATGGAGTAGTTCCCAATTCACGGATCGTCGGCGCTTTTCCATGAAACGAAGAGAAGAGTATTGCCGGTTCTGAGATTCAAGCTGGCTATCCGTTGGATCATCGAAACTCTGCCACAAGGTATTTCCAGTGTCGCCGGCGTCATTGCCAATACTCAGAATAAGATTTCCAGAATCCGTGAGATAGCAGTGGAATTACCCGATACAGCTGAAACATTCGTGGACTAGAGAGAATTTCCATTTCCATCTAAAACCAACAGATTGCCGCTGTCTCCAATAGTAAAAACTCAGTTGGTATCTAGAACAGGATTATCTCTGTTTGCGACCCATACGACTGTTTGTACAGAAACCTTGTAATACCATATGCCGACATAACGATTCGTCGAGTTTACCGGACTGAAGAACCCCAACTGAAAGTTGTTTCCCGGAGAGATAATGGTTCCTCATTCGTTGTTTATTTTATTTTCACCAAAATCTATCGTGGCGTAATTTTATGGTTTTCGATTGATTTCTTGATTTTTATTCCGAGTTAGTTGATTCTATTTGCTCCTCTCCTCTTTCCCTCATCTATTACTGTTGGAATAGACTTAGTTGAATATTTACGCTTGGGGCAATCACGCATTTAAAGAGGTGGTCTTCTCACTATCGTTTGCAGGAAAATCGCCGGTGGTCTTCTCGCTGGCAGGGTTAGGCTCGGATATGGGAGAATGAGAGGGAGAGTTCGAATCGTTCAAAATGAGGTTCACGCATTGACCACCTGTTCAAAACGATAGTGAGAAGAAGACAGACAGTAAACCAGCAATGCGAGACAGATTAATTCAGTGCACCGGCGACAACGGGGGTCAACCAGGCGGCACCAGCGGCAAGGACAGCAGAAGGAGTTGGTGCCGCTCCCCAGAGGCAGGAGTGATATTGTTTGCGCAGAAAAATTGCCGGTGGTCGGAGAATGGGAGGGAAGAGTTTTTCATTTTTTGTCTTTTAGCGTCCGGTTCAACCGGATGGATATAAATTAATGTTAAACGGCCGTTATGTAAAGGTTGATTTAAAAGAGTCAATGTGCACACCTCCTATTGGAGGGTTCACGGGGTCCATTGAATCCGACTTCAGAGGTACTGGATTGGCACATTTTCAAATACCACTTATAGCATTGTCAAAAGTACACTACAGGGTACTACTAATCGCTAATTTTCCCTAAACTAAACAAAGCGCTTAGGAGAAGTAAAAGAATGGTACTTACTGGCTTCCCATATCAAAAATAACCCCTGCAGTCCGATTCGGCAATATTTGGAAAGCATCGGGAGGGAGAATCACTCGCCTGTTGCCAATGCTGAACCCTTCCAAGGCTACATAATAGTGTTGGGGGTCCGACGGGTTATCCACAATCGGGATTCTCACCGCCATGTTCCTTAATTTTGGTTTGAGCAGGGCGGCGTCCCCTAAAATAAGCGGTGTGACCCTTTCTTCATCCTTGCTGGTGGTCAAGCACACCGAGAATCTGCTGGCGCCAACTTGTCTGATCAAAGACGTATTCCCACGGCCCATCCCCAGCACGCCCTGGACGCTTCTCCAGTAGCGCTTCGACTTGGTGGTGTAGCCAAACACCAGATTGTATGAAGTATCCCCCATATGAAAGATGTCGGAAGCCATTTTACCACTCACACTTGTTCCATCTTCGTATCGTTGGCTGAACGTAGATGTGTTCCGGCACCCAAACTTGAGCTTATAGAAGCTCTTGCACAGAGAATGATTGCAAGGAAGCTTGTTGAGGGTAGACGACTCTCGTGGGTTGAAGGGGAACAAGTTGCGAGCTTGGAGCCATATGACACTGCTGCTGCTGCTCAAGAGAGCAGAGATGCGCTGTGGAGGAGTGCCGACGTATATATCCACAACGTGCCCCTTTGGGCCATACCGAACTACTGGTGTTACTGAACCAGAGTTGGTATCCAGCCACCGAAGTACGCCGAACCCAACTATGTTGTCCACTCTAGTCACGCTGAATGCTATGATTATTAGAAATGCCATCAAAAGCGTGCACCGACTTTGGGTTGCCATGCTGATTGACGATTCTACAACACCATCAACGGTTATATTTACAAGAATTAATTAACTGGTTGAGACAGAAGAGTTTAAAGATATAGACAAAAAGGAACATGATGGGTAGAAATAGTAGAAATGATTTAAGTATTAACAATTTAGCGGTGGATATGAGTTTTAATAGAAAGGAATGGTGAGATGGGATTCATGTAACCGACCTTATGTAATTGGGAGGAGGGATGATAGAAATATATATTACCTAATTCTTATCTAATGAAAGAGAAGGCAAATTGTCATGGGTTGGTTAATCATACGTATATTTCAGGTAGATAGGCATACCTGACAATCTGTAATCCCAATTAAATTAATAGACTCCATTTAGGAAACGAAATCAGTGTGGATGGGATATTATCAACTACCTAGATGAACATAGATATCAATTATTTTTAACTAATTCTAGTGTTTGTTATTGATGGTTATCATTCCATGTGTGGAATTTATGAATGCACAAGAACTGGAGAAAATGTCGGTCGTTTAAATTTGAAAGCACATAAGGGGCTTTCTCAATTTCTCCATATCACATTTAGTTCATGCAGACTTCTTATATAATAGTATTCATTGGTGCTGGATGCATTGCGGTTTGCGGGGAAGCCTAGTGGACGGCCTAGCTTTTGGCTGATGGCCTAAGGCTGTTGAATGTGGATAGCAATTATTATTCTTTTTAATTGGAGTCTAGGCCATGCCACCTGGATTGCTGTCCTAATTACTTTCCTTTAACACCTCTTTCCTTTTTATTTTCTATCCTTTGTTTATGCGGGCGAGTTGGGATTAACTGCATGCATTAGATGGCTGTGTTAGGCCGAGGATCTCTTTAACCCAAACCAAAGGAATTTTCCATTCAAAAGCAACACTATATTCATAAACTCTTACTGTAGGCAGCCTATTCAAATGGATCAGAAAACCAAGCAAATTCAAACTGTAGATATATTATGGCTGCTTCGGGTTAGAAGCTAAAAAAACAATCAAATATGATAGCAAAGTTGCAATGGGAGATCTTACCGAAGAAAACCCATTACAGTCCTTCTTACATTCTGCAAAACTTGCTGTCAAAGAAGACATCTTAAGGTCGTTCTGAGTCGTCCTATTTTCTCCCAACCCAAGTACACCCCTTTGAAGAAGGCAGACCCTGTTGAACCGCTGTTGTGTTTGAACAGCGAAAACCCCATTTAATATAATATAGTTATTCTTTTTTTGGTCAAAATATACCGATTCACATGATACGATCGAAGTCTCCACTCACCACCACTAATTCTCTTCTTTGCTTTAAAAGTTTTCTGATTTTAGGATGGAAGAGAACTGGCAAGAATTGCATATTGAGATGGTTGAATTATATGAAACCATATGTCAAACGAGAAAACCTTACTCCTGAAAAATAGCTTTGATTCTTGAACCTCATTCGTCAAGATATGGGGTATCAAGTGGTCATTCAATCATGGTGAAGTTTTATGTTCTATTCCGATATTCTGTTTGGGAGTACGACTATGAAACCATTCGAACCGCCACCCAGTTAGGATTTTGAGTCTGATTTTGTCAAGACCTGTCAAACTGTCAAAAATTGTTGACTTGGTCAAAAATCGTTTGATTCGGCCGGTTCAACCGCTGATCCATTCAATTGGGTCACAGGTTGTACACTCAATGTATGCAAATTTTCAGAGGTCATAACTTTGCACTCTGATGTCTGATTGGGGTGATTTTTTTATTTTATTTTGTGTAGTTTTTTCAAGTTCTATGCGTTAGGCTCTTTGTCCTACTATTTTCACAAAAAAAAAAACATTTTTTTGTCCTAAAATTGCAATTTTTAATATTTTTATAAATAAAAAGAATTAAAAACTGAATTAAAAAAATATAAATTAAATATAAAAAATATATATAACATACCTAAAATATATTTATATATTATTTTTTGATAAAATATATATTTTTGCACATATACATACATACACACATGCGCGCACACACACATACATAATACATATATATGATGACATGGCACGGTCTGAACCGTTCGACTGGCTGGTCGAACCAATGACCCGCGATCAAAGGCAAAAGCAGTTCGGCCTCCGGGTCAATTTTTAACATGGTTTTCAAAACCGGAGCGGACCAGAAAAATCGGTAACCGTTCAGCCCCCGAGTTCAATCCGGTTTTGATAAAATCCCTTTTTTTTGTATTTTCTGCAAACATATGACTGAATACATATCACTAAAACATTCTACTTTCTTATTTTTATGTTCTTCTGTATTTTTTTAGTATTTTTCTGTATTTGTTTGCAATTTTCTGTGTTTTTTTTTATTTTTTCACAAATTTCGGTGTTTTTCTGTAGTTTTTTGGATTTGTTTGTATTTCCTGCACATGTACGAGTATGACTCAACACATTCTAATTTATGTTTATTTTCTGTATTTTTTATTTTTTGTATTTTCTATGTTTTATGTACTTTATTACTTTTTTATTTAGATAGTTTTATTTTTCTGTTTTTTTGTGTTTTTCTTGTACTATTTTTGTATTTTCTATGTGTTCTGTATTTTATTATTTTTGTATTAAGATAGTTTTATTTTCTGTATTTCTCTGTATTTTATTTAATTTTATATTGTTTTATAAATATTTTTTTAATTGATTTATGACATCATGGGTTGAACCGTTCGACCCGGCAAAACCAGAAAAAGATCCCCTGACTGGTTCTGTTTATGGATCGTTTTTAAAAACCTTGATTTTTAAAATATTGTATTCGACCCATTCAACCTAAACTAACTAGGTGGTCTGATTCAGTTTGTCGACAAACTGGCTTACTTAATGTCGTGCATAAGGAATTACTAAATATTCAGTTAATTAAGTACTAAAATATTTTCTGCTAAGAAATTAAGGAACTTCTGTTGTTTTATTATTAAGGAATTTTATTAATTGATAACTACTTTTTGCTTTTATTCCTGTGCATCGGATGGGCTATCGGAACCCATGTGATGCACAGGCTTTTTATTATGTGAAAGTAATTTTAAATTTCTGGGTAAAGCAAAAGTGTCTTGCTATTTTAGTTATGAACCCATGAAATAGCAATGGATCCCCCACCAATAAACATAAACGATAAGCTTTCCTCTTTGCTTCAATTTTCTTTTCAAGGACCTAGAATTAAAGAAACAAAGACGGAGGAGGGAAAGCCAATGAATGAAGAAACATCCATTTTATATGACTAATATTTTATTTATTTTAATATTTTTAAGTAATACTAATTTTATTTATTTAATTTTTTTAAATGCAATTATTAATAAACTTTTAATTTGTACTAATTTTTACTAACTTTTAAATGCAATGTTATCCATTTATCTCAAACTCGTATGTTGTTGTATGGCGTTTTCAGTACCAGGTCCAGACAACCCACTATCTCATATTTCCAATTGCCTAAAACCTCCCCCAAAACTAGGGGTGTAACCGTGCAACTTGGGCAGGTTGGGCTGGGTTTAAGGTCAACCAGCCCAGGCCCAACCCCAATTATTTGGCTTAAGGCCTTGGCCTAGGCTTAGCCCGACGTCAAGATCTATCTTTCCAACCCAAGCCCAGACCAAATTGAAAATTGACATTCTTGGGTTGGGCCTAAGCCAGGATTGGGTTGGTTAAGTAGTCTCAGGTGGGCTTATTAGGCTCAGTGTACAAAGATGTTGCATGAACGTTTTTAGCATCATTAATTTAATTTAAACGTTTAAATAAGAATTTTGTAAACTTTCTATATAAGTATGCATAAATTTATGTATATATACTTATGTATGTATATATGTATGCATTTGAGTAATTGAATTGGGTTATGCTTGAGATACTTAGGAGCTAGGTCCAGGGTTTTGGGCCCAAACATAGCCCGAGGATTGAAAGTTCAAACCCTTGGTCGTCGATCCAGGCTTTGGTTTTACTAATTTAAGTTGCACCCTTTACCTAAAACATCTCAACTTCCTAAAGCCTCTCTCAAACTATCTGGCATTTTCAATCAGCTAAAACTTTTTCCTAAAACATCATCCTCTCTTTATCTAGTCATGTATCAATCCACCTTCCAAACACATGCATTTAGCTGTCCATCAACTTAAATCAAATAGGGGACCCATTTAAATTCCACCTACAAAGATTCAGCTTACAGCACATATAGTTGGGACAAGGACTGCAAGATGATGATGTTAATTATAATCTCTTTATCAAAATCACTGTTTTCAAAACCGGATTGGACCAGACGGTCGGACCGGAAAAACCAGGAACCGGTCATCTGATCGGTTCCGTTTTCCTCCAAAACCACTTTTTCCCCCCAAAATCATTGATTTGGTCAGCAAACTGCTGAACCGGTCGGTTAATCGTTCGAACGGTTTTGACCATTTTCCAAATTTTTTAATTTTTTTGAAGTTTTTTTATTTTTTTGTCAAAACAGGCCAGTCATTTGGGTCAAACAGTTGGGCCATTCGAACCAGTAACTGGACCCCTGACCGGTTCGGTCATTGGTTCAATTTTAAAAACCATGATAAAAATAATAAAACAATTATAAACTATTGGTTTCATAGTTATTTTTATTGATCTAATATCAATGTAAAAATAGTTAAAGTTAATAAAATTGAACAAAAATAATATGTAATTTTACTAATAAACATAATAAGATTGATCAGCTTCAAAATTATTTTCTATCAATTCAAAAAATTGATAAAATGTAATGCTTGGGTTTAAAATCTTTTTCAATAAAGATTTATTAGTTTTAAATCTACTAATAAACACAATAAGATTTATTAGTTTAAATTCTATTTCACCTCCATTTAAAATTAAAACAAAATATGGCCACTCTCACTAGGGGTGCAACTTGGATTGCAAGACTAGCTAGATATAACCCAAAATGTAATGATTTGGTTGGACTTGGACCAGCTCAGCTCAATTGAGAATGTCATAGGGTTCCTTCCTCAATTTCACTTAACAATGCCTATAGATGTTCATGGGTTAGTT